ACTAATTTCAATATTCTTTATACTTACAGATTGAAGTTGAGTATCTTTTCATATCTTTAAAATGACTTTTGCATTTTCTTTTCTGTGAAATACCTATTCATAAACTTTGCCATTTTTCTGGGGGTTTTCCTCTTATTTATTTGTAAGAGATGTTTATATATTAGGGAGATTATCCCTTTGTAATACAAGCAGCAAATATATTTTCCCAGTTTGTCCTTTGTCTTTTTGGTCATTTGTCTTTTGAATTTGCTTAGGATTTTGTCGTTCTGTTTTAAGATTTTTTTTTTTTGGTTGAATTTTCTGTTTTTTTTTGCCATGCAGAGGATTTTAAATTTTTTAATATAATCCAATTTTTCATCTTTTATGGCCTCTGGATTTTTTTTTATGACTCTCCAGTGTTTCTGCCTCCTTATTCTATAAATTCATTTTACACATTTAACTCCTCCTTAATCCATTTGGAATTTTGGAACCGTTCCTGGTGTACAGAATGAGGTATGGAACTCACTTTATTTTTTCCAGATGGCTACCCAGTTGTCTCAACATGAAAACAATTTTAAAACAGTTCAGGGCAAACCATACAGTTCTGCCAACCTGTGGGCCACCGCCTTGAAACCTCTTACTTTGAACAGACGTGAAGTTCACATCCACGGGGAAAGTGGGAATGATCGACCAAAGGGCCTTGCTCTTATGAAGACTTGCAATGGCCTATACCCTGGTGCCCCTGTCCAAAAACAGCCACCAATGAAAGAAAAAGAGAAAGAAAACGATCACCCTTTCGTAGGCTGCAAAGTGACCCTTGCCGTGGGCTTTGGGTTTGACCCTCTCAAGTCAGCATCAGGGCTTTCGCTGATTTGCTAGGAGACACATCTGACACTTGCACTAACAGGGGACGCCCATCAGGTCACCTGGCACCAGGACAGAGCATCAGCAGCTCAGAGGACTGAGGTCAGGAATTCCTGGCAGGCTCTGTGTCCTGGCTTTCCCTCCCCTTAAGTGTCTCCAAGTGTCCCTGAAAGTTCATTGTTTGGCACTGCAACTCCAGGAAACTTGGAAAGGCCAATTCTAGCTCATTACTCACCTTTTCCCCATAGATGCTGTCATACAACCTTACCCCTCCTCGCTGCCTTGTGGGTGCGTGTCCCCAAAAGAGTCCCAGGACAGCAAAACCAGAGGGTGCGAGTTGGACTCTGGCAGCTCTCACTCTCCCGTGACTCGTTCTTACTTTGAAATGTAAGGCAGTTCCGAAGCCACTCACTGCTGAGGCTCTTGGATGCCACGAGCCAACTGAGAAACGCAGGACAGTGGGCCTTTCCCCCACCCAGCCTGGTCACCATCACAGCCACCTGTTACCCAGTGCCCATCGCCGGGCCCTGACACAGGTCATCTCATTTCCTCCTCAGTACACCCCAACAGGCAGGTGCCATTATTCTCTGTATCTTACTGTGGAAGATCTTACTGAGGCTAGTCTCAGAGAAGGTAAGCAACTAACCCAGGGCCACACAGCCGAGATGTGCAGGAGATGATGGCGCTACCCAGGCAGGCTGACCTCACAGCCTATAAGCTCTTAGTCACGGTCCTGTGGGTCTCTATTTTAGGACACTTCTGTTGCTGTGGCTTAATCCTGTGACATTCCCGTTCACCTCTCCCGGACCCTTGGTTCGGCCTCTGGAAGGAGAAAGAAGTCTGGGCATCTTCAGCAATCAACATATACCTGGTTTTCCAGAAATTGCTGTCCTCACCACTTGTATGAAAAAAGAACTTTCCATTGAATCTCTGCTCTCCCTGAGCAGACCAGGGCACAGGGAAGATCTAAGCTTCCTTCGTTAAAAACAGTCCCTATCACCATCACGGCCATGACAACGAATGGTCAGCAGCCACTGGGATGCCGCCACAGGCTCAGTGTCGGCCGGGGGAGCCAGGGACAAAGCTGACACGCTGAGTATACACACGCCACTCCGCCTCCAGTTACAAGGTACAGAAGCCGGCGACACCAGCACCGTCTATGCTGTGAGATGTCAGGGTAGTGTTAGTTTGGATGGGGGTGCGGCACTGGCTGGAAGGGAGCACGAGGGGGCTTCTGGGTGCTGATGACGCTTGTGTGTTTCTAGATCAGGGTGAGGGTTAAGCAGATGTGTTCAGTGTGTGAAAATTCAGTGACCCATACACTTAGGTGCACCTTTCCGCCTGTAAATTTTACTTCAATAATTTAAAATAACGTCTTGACATTTTTAAATAAAGAATTACGTTTACAACAATTATCTCCACAAAACGCTGGCTGTACTTGAAACAAGGGGTTCACTTATATCTTTTAGTTCAAAAAATTGTCCTAAGGAACTGCCCTGGTGGCGCAGTGGTTAAGAATCTGCTCGCCAATGCAGGAGACACGGGTTCGAGCCCTGGTCCGGGAAGATCCCACATGCTGCAGAGCAACTAAGCCCGTGCGCCACAGCTACTGAGCCTGTGCTCTCGAGCCCGTGAGCCACAACTACTGAAGCCTGTGCACCATAACTACTGAAGCCCGTGCTCCGCAACGAAGAGTAGCCCCCGCTCACCGCAACTAGAGAAAGCCCGTGTGCAGCAACGAAGATCCAAGGCTGCCAAATAAATAAATAAATTTTAAAACCTAACAACAAAAAACACCTTATCACCCTGAAAATATTTTCATGTCTTGTCTTGAATATGGTTATCGCACAACTTCCAAAGCCCAACTCAATTCCTGTCTCCTGCACGTAGACTTCTTTGATCAATGTAAGGCCTAAATGCTCTCTCTTCTACCTCAGTCTTCTGTTTTCTAATTATTGTTTATGTTGTTTATTCTGGTTTAGACTGCAAAGCATTGAAGGCATAACTTTGTCTTACACATGTTTATGTCCCTCACATGCAAAGCACGGGATTTGTTTTGTGGTCTGATGGGTCTGAATTTGGGTGATGAGTTCCGAACCTCAGTTTCTTCGTCTATAAGTTAGGGTTAATAACAATAACATTGAAGGTTTGTTGTGAAAGATTAAATGTGCTTCAACCTGTAAAACGATAAAATATAAACCTTAGAAAGTGGACTGAGTAGGAGTAAAGACTAGAACTGTTTATTCCCCTCTAATATCATTTTTGGTGAAAGCAGAAAACAAGCTGTCAACTACTAAAGTCCCTAGTTCTTTTCCTGCTACATATGAACTAACCTTTCAGCTTATGTTTGTATGGTTATTTTCCTCCTGCATCTCCTTCCCTCAACTTGTCAATTTAATTGTTTAGTCACTGCCTCAGTGATTAAAGACAAAATAGGAATTCAATTTCAATCATCTGAAGAGCCAGCCTATGCCTCTCCCGGATTGGGATTGATGGAAGTTTAGCAAATAGCCCTGTCTTGAAATGTCATAATGACTTTTTTAAAGAAAGTAATCAAGTCATACATGAATACATTCTCACTGTAGTAATGGGAATCTTAAAGTCTTGGGAACTGAGACCAACCCTACAGCCATTCCATGTC